TTATGACCTCCCTTGTGAGAGAGACAAACCCTAGAATGGGGCTGATCCAGAAGCATCCATGGCCATCACTCCCTTGGGGAGGCAGGTCATCCTGGCTTCTGGGGACTGCTCAGCAGAGTACCTGTGCTGGGCAGACTCCACACGTCTGGGGCCCTGAAGCCCCAGGTCTGGTGTGGTTGTGTCATGCTCCTCTACAGGCTCCAGGAATTATCCTTCTTGGTGCTTGTAGCAGCAGGGTCTTGTGGCCATAGCACACTAGTCTTGGCCTCTTACCTCCCAAGACCTGCTTGTGTCTGTCTCTTGTCTTTTGCTCACATGGGTACCTGAGCACTCCTTACTCTTCATACTCTAACATGAAAGGTGTTCTTTCGTTCCTGATCCTTACCTCTCTCCTGACTGCTCCCTTCAATGCTTCCTTCCATAGCATTATTGAGTCCTACACTTCCATCTTCCTGCCAGGGCAAGCATGATGGGACAGTGGTTCAAATCCAGCCACCCTTCTGTGTCTTTGTGACCTCTGTAGAATGCATACAGGGCTACTATACCCTGAAGGACATAGACACGTTTGTGGGTACCTATGATCTGTAGAGGAAGGTGTCCATCCCACTAAGTCCCACCACCCTACAGCCACAAATAAACACACATAGACCTATTAATTATTAAACTGTTGGCTGATGACTCAGGCTTCTTATGGGCTAGCTCTGTCTTAATTATTAACCCATTTCTACTAGTCTATATATTTCCAGGAGGCTGTAGCATACCTATAATCTTGCATGTTACTCCTTGTGCAGCATGGCATCTCCTTGCATCTTCTCTCTGCCTCCCTCTCCCCTGCCTTCTTCTCCTCTTGAAGCCCAGCCTATGCTTCTTGTCTGGCTATTGGCCAATCAGTGTTTTATCTATCAGCCAATAAGAGAAACATATACAGAAGGACATTCCCCCATCAATGGTCCTCTTGCTCCCTGCTTATCCCTACCTGTCTTGCAGGATCCTGAATTATCTTCAAGATCTTATCTATATACTTCACCAAAATAAGGGAATCATATATTCACTTTGTAAATATACACTGGCAATTGTGAGCTTTATATCACTGCATCTATATACCTAATTCTGATGTAGATGATAAAGTGTTGATTGGAGGTAACAATGCTCTGAAAAGTGTCACCACCAAGAACCTCTGAGTCTCACAGACAAGCAGAGACCTCTTTATGCCCACGTGAGAAAATGGAATCAGGGGATGGATGGGTGAAGATGGGCATCAAATGGGCCTTCTTGACATGAACTCTCTTCCCCCACTTCATCCTGTCCGGTACCTAATAGTACTGTGGATCATTGTACTGTGGATCTTCACACATCGTCTTCCTCCCAGCCATATACTTCCTCTTGCTCCTGATGTCTTCTGTATCCAGCTTTGGTGGTCACTTGGCCACAGATTTTCAGCACACACCAAGCTGATTTCACAAACAGCTGTGGGCCTTGTGGTCGCAGCTCTCTTATTGCTCCATCTACTGGTTGTATTTGTCACAACTCTTCACAGAATACTCTCTTACCTTTTCTTACTACCCTAAGGTCAACTGCGGTTCAGCAAATCCTTGAATCATAAAATCTTTACACAGTGCTTTCCAATCTCTGTCTTTGTGTGTCTCTCTGTGTCTGTGTCTGTCTGTCTGTCTGTCTGTCTGTCTCTCCTGTCTCTCTCTCTCTCTCTCTCTCTCTCTCTCTCTCTCTCTCTCTCTCTCTCTCTCTCTCTCTCTCTCTCTCTCTCTCTCTCTCTCTCTCTCTCTCTCTCTCTCTCCCAATACCGGTGATTGAACCTAGGGCATTCAACAAGCTAGACAATGTACGAAGATCCATTTCATTTGATGCCAATCTTCCCCCAGCCCTCTCTTGGCTCCATCACCATGACAGAATTAGACCACAGCCCCAGTTTCTCCAGTCTTTATGGCATTAAAAGTGTCCCAGCATCCGCTCTCCTTTCTCCTCCAAACATCATCTCATCTGATTTTACTCAACAAAGACATACCTGAGACTGAAGTGATCACACATCACAGGGTCTCTCACTTCTCACCCTGGCATCTCAGAATCCTATCTAGGCATGGCTTCAAGGATAGTGACAACTTCTGTCCTCAGCTGGGACTTCTCACAAGGACTTTTTTCCAGGGCCTTGTTTCACATGCAAGATTTCCAAACAAGAGGTATCTCCATTGTGAGAATTTTCATTTGTCATTTCCTATTGTTCCATTTAGTGTAGTTGTAGGGTTTTAGTTGTAGCAGTTTTCCTTCTATCTTCCTTTTTCCTTTCTTGAAGCAGGGTCTCACTCCTAGTCCAGAACTTTCCATCCTCCTCCCTTAGCTTCCAAGAGATTATGGCTGTGCACCACCAGGCCTGGCTCATTAGCTCTCCTCTCTACTTTCTGATGAAATTAATACTTCATTGGATGTAAAGTCAGTGTGCACTCATTTCTTTCTCTGTCCCACACTCACTGTCAGGCTGTCAGGCTGGAGGACATTGCTAAGTGACTATAGCAGCATAGTTACCTCACTACAGTGATGCAATGGCATTTTGCCTGAATGTGTGCAGACTGAGGGAATACTTGGTCATCTGGCATAATGATGGCATGGGTAGAAGTTCCTTCTGTTGACACTTATTTGTGGTATGGATTATGCATTTTTACTAAATTCAGCATCTATTATTAAATAATGCTCTACTAAATACAATCTTGGAGTGGTATCAACAAGAGGGTGGAGAAGAAAGCCTGAACACTTCTTTCCCCCCACAAAAAGTCCAACTCAGCAACAGCTCATGGATAATTGCCCTCAATGAGAAACCCAGAAACGAACATAAAGTTGTCTGAACATCTCAGGTAAACATTTTTTTTTTTGGTTTTTCGAGACAGGGTTTCTCGAAACCTTTGGAGGCTGTCCTGGAACTCACTTTGTAGACCAGGCTGGCCTCGAACTCACAGACTCAGGTAAACATTTTAAAACCAAACTGAGAAGGTGGTAGAAAGGGTTTCACTAGAATCCCTGTCCTTGGCATAGTACTAAAAGGTCAGAAGACATTCCCTACCTCTTGTCTCAGGAAAGAAAGGGGGTAGCTGGCATGGACACCACCCTAACTTCTCCAGCTGACTCCCTAGAGGTCTGGCTTCTGACTTGCAAAACTTGGAGATCTGCATGATGTACATAGTCCATCTGCCTGGAGAAGATGGAATTTGACTCTCTCTCTCTCTCTCTCTCTCTCTCTCCCTCCCTCCCTCCCTCCCTCCCTCCCTCCCCTTCATCAGTTTCCTCTGGGGAGAATTAGTGCATGCCCACAACAACCCTACTTTGCTAAGGCTAATATCTCTCTTCAACACTTGGAATTGTGGTAGGTCCAACAACTTCTAGTTATCTTGGAAAAGAGTGGATGACTTGGACTGGTGGATGTTATGGCTCCTTTCTCCTGCTCAGCAGAAAACAAGCAGGGCTGAAGGAACTTGCTTCTCACTGGAAAGGGCAGGTTGGCAAATGTGCTCAGAATCTTGGATCAAAAACACCACTGGAGTTCTTTTCACATGACTCAAGGTTAGACGTGCCCACCCTGCCCACCCCAAAGTGTGGATGACAATTATAAAGCCAAGGAAGGCCAAAAGCAAAGGTAACAATGGAACTGGAAACAACACCAGTGAAAAGGAGTTACATGATTTATGTGACCGAAGATTCAAAATAATTGTCATGAAAGTGCCTATCACCACAGTTAAGAAAGCAGAGAATGAATGTGACTTTCAACAAAGCAAACACATAGAAGGAGGAGGAGGAGGAGGAGGCACCAAACTGCATCATGAAAACTATAACTGAATTGAAAATGTTTAAGGATTCCACAGTAGACTAGGTCAAGCGAAAATGAATCAGTAAATCCAAAAACATGGTCATTATAAATAACTAGGTCAGAGGAGCAGAAAGAATTTTTAAAAAGAGTAAAAAAACTTATAGACTGTCCATAGGAAGCTCACCTCGGTTTGAAAACATACAGGCTAAGGAGTGAGGAATGATACTCCATGTTAAGGGAACATGGAGAAGGTAAATGTGACTCTTGGCTGTTTATCATAAAGTGTTCAGTGTTTTTGTTTTGTTCCATCCCTCCCTCCCTCTCTCCCTCCCTCTCTCCCCCCTCTCTCCCTCTCTCCCTCTCTCCCTCCCTCCCTCCTCCCTCCCTCCCTCCCTCTCTCTCTCCCTCCCTCCCTCTCTCCCGCCTCCCTTCCTCTGGCTTGCTTGCTTATCCTTCTTTGCTAGTTTTTTTGATTGTTGATTTTCCTTCTGTTATCTGTCCCCACTCCAGACCTCATTAGTCATATCTGTTGCTTAGCCTGATGAACCTGGAGCCAGGTAGACTACACTGAGGTGCTTAGTAAGGGCTCATACAATAAGCACGTGTATGAAAAGAAAAAAATGAATGTGTTTTTTAGTCCCAACATGTTCAAAACATAAGGCCAATGCTCAAAAAAATTTGTTGATGGTAGTAATATGGCATAAAGAGTAGATTATTGTCTTATTATAGAGAAATTGATACTTGTTCTTAAAGGTAAGCTGTGGCAAGTAGATGTCATGGAAAACGGGTTTTAAAATAATCCATTTCTAGACAGGTTGTACATTATCAAGACTCTTTACTCTGAAAGTGAAAGTCCCAAGCAAAGTAAAAACATGCAAACTCCTACAACCTACTGTCCAAGGCCAAATTCAGCTGGACATGTGAATACCTCATTCAGACAAGGCTGCCTGACCCTAGCTCTGCTTGCCTATGTTTCTGCCTCATCAGACCTGCCTAGGCCATGCCAGGGTGCCACTAACTATCTCAGGTGTCTTAGTTAGGGTTTTGTTACTGTGAAGAGACACTGTGACCATGGCAACCCTTATAAGGGAAACCATTTCAATGGGGCTGGCTTACAGTTTCATATGTTTATCCCATTATCGTCATGGCAAGAAGCATGGCTGCAGGCAGGCAGACTTGGTGCTGGAGAAGGAGCTAAGAGTTCTATGTCTTTATCCATGGGCAGGAGAAGGAGACTCTGTGGCACGCAGGGCGTAACTTGAGCTTATAAGACCTCAAGCCCACTCCCGGTGACACACTTCCTCCAACGAGGAACCTTCTCTACCAAGTCACACCTCCTAATAGTGCCATTCCCTATGGGTCAAACAACCAAAACCATGAGTCCGTGGGGGCCATCCTTAGTGAAACTACCACACCAGGCTAGAAGCTCAGAGACTTTGATGCAAGCAGAGCAAATCTTCCCTGATAAAGAGGAGCAGCTGCAGGTTTCCACTCAGTTTCTGTGTGTCACAGTGTTCTGACTACTGGAAATCCCTGTTTATCACACAAAGTCTAGGGTGCTCTGAACATGTCATGAACAGAGACAAATCTCAGCCATCAAAGTCACTGACTCTAACAAAGGCCACAGGCCCTGAACTTAAGAACAATCCATATAGAGTACAGAGAATCCTGAAGCCAAAGGGCATGGGGAAAGCTCCCGGAGTGGTAGGACCAAGCGAGCTCATGTGAGTGTATATGATGGGAGGCAGAAGGCTCAGATAGTGTGTGTAGTCTTGATGGAACTCACTACAAAGGTGACAGTTGAGCACAGGAATCTGGGCCTGTGGGTATTTCCAGGGAGAAGACAGAGACCTGAGATAGGGGTGTGTCTCATCATTCATGGAAGATGGAGTCAGGCAAGGCCAGTGACCCAAGGTGGAAACCTACCTCACCTTCCATATGAGTCAGAGTTTAATGTGGCCAGTGACCTAAGGTGAGAATGTGCCTCACTACTCTAGACTCAGAGTCCATGGTGACCACTGATCCAAGTTGGGAATCTCTCTCTCCAGTCAAGGGAGGAAAAGTCCAGCATGGTAGGGGACTGTAGTTGACACTGGTTATGAACACAGCAGGTGGGAGGGCAAGAGAGAATATGTTGGTCGTGATATTGCACAGCTACAGCCATCTTCACTGGAGGTTGAAAAAGGAGCCAACAATTGGAGAAGATTGGTATACGCACCTCATTCCAGTTGCAATGAGAACTCTTACTTCCGGTGTAAATGTTAGGGGAAAAGAAAACATAAAGGCAGAAGTGGGAAGGACAGCTCTAGGGTCCCTAGTAACACAGACCCACTTACTCACACAGACAAGGGTCTCAACCATGCAGAGGACCGTGGGGAGGAATGGACCTTGGTTTTGCAGAGAACAATGGGGTAAGCTTGTGTCTCAGCCTCTACAGAGAACAGTGTCAGTCATGAAGAGGAGACAGTGGGGTGGGCATAGTCTTCTCATCCTTGCAGAAGACAACAGAGTACTCCTGAGTCTCAAGCATGCAGAGGACAGTGAGGTAGAGGGTGGTCAGGACTTCGTCTCTGACTCAAGTACTGGTTGGGACCAAGTACACAACTTTCAATGCCACTCACTATAGATGAAATCAAAAGTAATCAAACTACATGGAGAGAGTGGGTACCCCAAGTCACTAGCCAGTTATGTGGATCAGGGAACAAGTGTGTTGTGGGTTCATGCCCCTGTCCTCTGTGGTCCAAAACTGCTTATGTCATCAGACTTCTGGCTTGAAGTACATACTGAGTGCTTTCTGTAGCTGCCTTCAGTGATGAGTGTGGTTTTAAGGGAGGGGCGGGGTCACAGATAGCCTCCATCCCTCAGCCTTTCTGAGCTCTAGAGCCATTTCTCACTGTGTGTCTAATCTTTGAGACCTGCCTTGAGACTGACAACCTTCAGATGAGACACTGATGTCATTGCTAATCCATCACCATGTCCACACACTAGCCTGGAAGCAGAGGCTGCCCAGCTCCCTGGGGTTCCACACACAGATGGACTGGATCACAGCTCCTACATCTGAGCCATACAGATTCCCCAGCTCCATGATATTTGCCCAAGTAGCAGGCCTGGGGAAGGGTAGGAAGCTTCTGTATCGAGAGTTTCTTGACAGGAAACTGTGGTTCAATATTTGATCGTTTAATATTTGATGAGATTCCGTGAGAGTTATTAAACTCTAGTCACCTCTGTGTTCGGTGTCTTCTGAGTCTTGTCTTGCCAGCCCAGGAGACTCCTGTCTCTTCATCTGTATCCTAATGCCCACCTTCCCTGCAGGTGCCAAAGACAGAGCTGGATCAGATAGAGTACCCACTGAGGCATAGAACAGCAAGGAGAGGAAACAGTAGTCATCTCCTCTCTTCATGTGCTGCGGCTGTGCTCTGAACCCCTCCAGATCAGATCTGCATAGTCTCTGGGAAATGTGGCTCCACTATCAGGGGAACCATCTTAAATGAAGTATTATTTCCTGTAAATGCAGAAAACAAATTCACCTCCCAACACCAGAAAAATAGACTCCACACATTTGTTCTGATTTGTAGATGAAATGATTTTTTAAAAAATCTAGATCTCTGAACAGTCCCTAAGAGGCTCCCTCACCCTCTGTCCAAATAGAGTGTGTTCCTCAGGTGGTCTGGTTTGTAACCACCTGCAGGGTCTCTTTAAGAAAAACTTTGGGGGCATGCCGTGCCCTTCCATGTCCCCTTTCTGGAAGTGGGCAGCATCTGGAATGACCACAGAACTCCCTGAGCACAGTGCTGCTTCATGGAGGTGTGGCTTGGCTGTTCCTTCTTGGTACTTGTGACAAAATGGTACGGTGCCATCACTTCTGTCTGCAAAAGGCATAGTCCCAGAGACAGCCAGAGACAGCTCATCACCCTACAATGCAGGAGTTCAATAGCCTCCTCTGTTGAAAAAGGGTCCCCTTTACTTCAGTCTCCTGGCCCCGAACTTGGGAATCTGGAGATGTGTCCATGTTCTCTGACCTCACCCAGGGGTCCCTTTCCTTGCCCTTTTGAAGGAAAGGTAGTAAGAGCATTCTGTACTTGGTTGTCACATCCCAACAGACCTCGGTGTGGTCCTTCAAATGATCTTCATAGACCCCGGGAACCAGGCAGTTTCTGTCCTCCCTCAGGGTCCTCTCACGGCTTAGACAATGGCTGAAGAGAGCTCTCAGTCTTCTAGTCTGGCAGCCTGAGGAGACAGCACACACCAGATGCTCTGCTGTGGGCACAGGCTGCAGCCTGATTTGCCCTAGGGTATCCTTCAGGATGAACTGTTCAGTTAGCAACTCAAGATTTTTGTACACCAGTTATTTCAAGGCTACCCCATCTACAAACCCATGACCCAGGACATGACATTTCCACTTAAGGGGAAAATGAAGCATGCTGCCACAGAGACGGGAGCAGCAGTGAGCCAAGGCCAGTAGCACTCAGCTCTGGGAACAGCCTTCGGGCTTATCTCTGTCCATTAAGTGATTAGTTCACCATGTAGCCATGACCACCCACTGCAGGTGTGTAAAAACATAACTTGAAATTACACAGTCATTAAGCCAAAATGCCAGCTCCATTCCGTGCCTGGGGACTCACCATGTGGTCACCTCTCGATGAAGCCATTGTTTTCTACAGAGCCAGGCTGGATATTGCTCCCACTGAGGTCACATCCAGTCCCAATGGAGGAGAAAGTGTGCAGTTTAATAATAACACACTTCTCAACTTCATGCCTTCCTGGAAAAACAGATTATAAGGAGAGTTGTTCACGGGTTGAATGTTTACAACATGTCCGAGAAATAATGACTGTCACAAGAATAAAATTCTGCCTTCTACTCAGTTAGCCTCAGCAGGCATTAGCAGTGAGACCAGTTTTTGTGAGGCATGACTCTAAAGGTCTTGGAGTCGGAGTGTTTTCAGTGGAAATGGACCTAAGCAAGGCTTTTAGCCAAGCCAAGCGGCCTCAGAAGACAAGACAATGCTCCCTGTTACCTGCTTCCTCGAGTGCTTGTTGTCTAGGAAACCAGCTGGTCACCACACATGTCCTCCAGGAGCACATGTGGGCTCTGCCAGGATGCTAAGCAGAAAGAAAACAGACTGAGCACGCAGGACAGCACCCTGGGGTGGACTTGGAGTATGCTCAAGAACCTCCATAGACATCCCTGCTGGAAGGCTTTGAACGTAGGATGTCGGTCAGCTTGGAGTTGGTCTAGTGTACACAGCTTGCCAGTGTGGTGTGTGTTCTCACAGAAAATGTTGCTGCCTCAACCACACAGGGACACAGAGGCAAGAGCTGGTAGCATAGCCACTCAAAGCCTGGGTACAAACACTCCTTGCAGGAACACTTGCACATATTCTAACTTTACCACAAGGAGAAGGAATCATTTAGTATCTCGGCCCATGGTAGGAATCAGCACAGACTTTCCTAAAATCAGGACACAACAGCCATTAATGGACATGAAGCTACCCAAAGCCAACATGGCCTTAAAAGATTGGAGTTGAACTAACCTGACTACAGAAGACAAACCCTGGGGGGAGAGAGAGAGAGAGAGAGACAGAGAGAGAGAGAGAGAGAGAGAGAGAGAGAGAGAGAGAGAGAGAGAGAGAGACAGAGACAGAGACAGAGACAGAGAGAGAGAGAGAGAGAGAGAGAGAGAGAGAGAGAGAGAGGCAGCATGGCAGCATGTTTTGGAAGAAAGATGCACTACCCTCTCATTGCTCTGTAGTCATAAGACCCTCATGTTTTCTCTCTCAGGAGGTTTAAGTAGCAAGGACACCAGCAGACGCCACCATCTTGTTGGACTAGTATATTAAAGAATGGTATTTAGGCTGCCGTGGTGACAAGATGGAACCATGCAGGAGAAGACCAAAGACATAGGTTAAAAAGGTGTATCCCTAAGGCAAGTTTAAGGCTCACTCAGTTGAAGCCCACAGAAAATAAAAATGTGGCGAGCGTCTGCTGGACAACACTTGGAGCTATCCACAGACATATCCACATAACACAAGCCCAGATAGCACAGGACACCAGACAGAGTAAATAAACAGCATTCATAAGAATAAAGTAACAAAATGTAGATCCTCTACCAACCATATCTATTATGAAGAAAGAAGAGGGAGAGAGAGACAGAGACAGAGAGGGGGGGAGGGAGGGAGGGAGGGAGGGAAGGAGGGAGGGAGAGAGAGAGAGAGGAGAGAGAGAGAGAGAGAGAGAGAGAGAGAGAGAGAGAGAGAGAGAGAGAGAGAGAGAGAGAGAAGCAAAGACCCAATCAAAACAAATCTGAGAAAAACTAAAAAGAACTCTAAGGCAGGTGCTATAATCTCCTGCATGATATAAAACAGCCACTATATAGTTGAAGCTCTCAACGGCTAAGGTTGTCTAATTGCTTTGTTTTGGTTAACACGCTATCAGCTGTCTAACTTACTAGGGCTTACTGTAGCATTTCAGCATATATGCACACATACACCGATCCCACCAACTTCCTTTACCACTTTGCTCTTGAATATCCTTCCTACTCTAGCGTTCACCATCCCAGTGCCAAGTCAACTCGTTTTTAATCTTCTGTGAATGTTAGAGAACATGTGGCATTTGTCTCTCTACATCTGCCTGATTCCACTAAATATAACGTCCTCCAGTGCCATCCATTCCGATGGAAATTGGAGGGTGTAATTCTTTGCTGTGACTAATAATGCTCCATCATTGGTAGATATACAGTTGCCTGGCTGGTGACCAACAGAGACACACATAGCCAATTGGACCAGTTCTATAGCCTGACAATTGTGAATAGGGTAACAGTTAGCATGAGTGTGATACAGATCCTTGAGGCAGGGCCTTTTTGAGCCTAGGTGCTTGTGCCTCAGGGCCCTAGGTGCTGGGTCATCAAGGGTCATCAAAAGTCAAGCAGAAACAGAGCTCATTGACCCAGTTTTTCCGGTGGTTAATTACGCAGGCACACAGAAGCAAGCACAGTGAAAGCAGGGCTTAACATCTTAAAAATCTTCAGTGTCTATAATTGGTTAAAAAGTATTCTTGGAACAGAGTGGGCATGCTCCACAGCGTCCAGCTTCAGCCCTGCTTCTCTCCCTGCGATGAGCCTTAGGAAAATTCTAGAAGATAGCACTATGGGCTCGGTTTCCCCATTGTAGTGTCCTGTCTGACGTGACTTTAGCTTTGGTCCCATGGTGTCTCTTGGGTCTCCATCTCATCTTCTTACTCATTCTCACTCACCTCCAGGAGCAGCACAGGATTTCCCCCACACTCTTGCTTACCCATTGGCTGTGGGAGAACATGTGGATTTTCATTTCTTTTTCCACAAATTTCAAACTCCATAGGGGGATCACCCCCACCCACTCACTTCCAATCTTCGCTCCCATGATGTTCTTCTGGCTCTTCTGACCTCTAGTCTTCTAATACCCATCCGCTCTGGGCCAGTGTACACTGGACTTCCATCAGCTGTTGCTCCCCTTTGAGTCCTCACACAGTGTCGACTCCCCAAGGAGAGAGATCATGTTCCCTTCCTAGCTCTTCCAGGTTGACAGAGCCACCAGATGCCTGTGTGATTTCAAGTTTCAGAAAAACAACGAATTTTTGTCCTCTCACTACGTCCCATGTGGGGCGTCTTTGAAACAACATTTGAGATGCCACCTAGACTTTAAAATGATCCATCTCGCATCTGAAATCCAAATATAACTGGAGTCCTGTGCGTTATCTGGTAGCTCCGTGGTTTCAGCTGTCTTTAGCACCCTGCACTGTGCCTGACACATGGCTCAGGCTACAGAATTCCCTTTGCAGGGCAGATGACACTGCAGACTGCAACAGAATGTACAGGAGATAAGGGGGAGGGGTGACAGCATGCCATACGCAGGACAGGACAACCAGGTGATGCGATGAGGCACCAGAGAGGTATAGCAAAGAGAGATGGGGTTAGATTCAGGGTTAGGTTAAGGTTTTATTTGGGTTTACAGTTAGACGAAGGCTTAAGCATAGGTCAGGCTGAGGATTAAGGTCATTGGTAGGGAGGATGGTACTAGAGGCGTGTGCCACCACCACCTGTGGCAGGGAAGACGGTAAGGCTAAGCATAGGGATGCTGCTTCTCATCCCTCACAAGGCTATCTGTTGCTGTATGGCTGACACTTTCCAGGGTGAGGTGCTTCTTCCAACATCCGCCTAGGCTCCACCTAAGATAAAGGAACCTTAGTTCCAAGCTCTGCCTTTGAAGTTTCTACAGATATCTCTGCAGAGGGTCTGTACCCCGTAGCCACTGCTGGCTCTGCACAGAGGCTTCCTGTCACAGTGTCCTTGGTCAGAGCTGGAGCCCCCAGGCCCAGGACACTCTTATTGCAGCCTTGTTCAATGTCACAGCAGTGGGTGTGGAGCACATAGCCTGTGTTCTCCATGCGGGGGAGGTACACACACACACACACACACACACACACACACACACACGCACGCACGCACCATGGCCAACAGGTCTGCACTCCAGATTCACAGGCTGGCCCCTCTCCCTGTGCCACAGCCCCGATTTTCAAATAACACCCATCACCAGAGTGGTGGGGAGGGATCCCTTTCAGGAAAGAGGAAGAAGTCATCTGTGAACTCTACACCGCAAGCTCCACTAGGGTAAAAAGCAATGGAACAATTCCCTGAGCCCCATGGTAGGAGAGTCCACCTGAGGTCCCCAGCAGAGTGGCAGCAGGCAGGTTGTTCTCACAGGGACCCTGAGCTAGGACAGAGAGTCGCATGTGCTGCACGCACCTGGGTGACATGGAAAGATTTCACGGCCTGAGGATGGGAACTGACTAGGGTTTCTCTAAGAGGCAGAGGAATCTCCACTCTCTGGGAGGAAGCACGCTCACACCTAATGTCATTTACCATGTTCCGTTTAAGGCAGCGGAGGAAGCGCAGCTGTTTGTAAGTGGGTACTATTCCTGTCCTGTTCCATTTATAAATGCGAAAAGGTGTTCTCTGCATCTGGAATGGATACACTGAGCACGGAGAGCTTATTTTCTTATGTTTCTCCTTAGCAGTCTCCCTGACTGCTTTCTAAGGTGACTGGAAGACAATGTTTTCTTCTGTCTTTATTTCAAGTATATTTACAGGGGTCCGCATAACCATATTCAAAGGCCTGCACGGGAAGATATTTTGTTCTGTAAATTTGTTTTTATAAAGATCTAGAGTTACAGCTGAGGTGTATGATCCTACAATCCAGTAAATAAACCGGGAACACTTTGCTAATGGGGACAAAAAAGAAAGTGAAATGCTACAAAGCCCATTACATTCCTTCAGATGATAACTTGAAGTTTTCCAAAATGGGGATCCTGTCTCACTTACGCAGAGATGATGATCTAATATGGGCAACATTTGAAAGGCAAAAACTAGAACAAAAATATCACACATTATTCCAGAAAATGGTCTCCTTCTGCGGTTTCCAGAGCTACCACCCATCTATGTAGGAAGTTGTTTTTCAAGACTCTGTCAATTGAGATGACAAAGTAGAAATTACCACTTTGAGTAAGCCAAGGGGGGAAAAGCCCACTTCAGAATGATGGAGGGCTCCAGGACAGGACCTCAGGGAAGAGCAATGGCAAGGCCTTGCGAGGGGTAGCATGAGACTTGTCACCCCCACGATGTGTGAGGGACCGACACCTGTGCCTTCCTGTGCCTCACGCCATCGGCTCTTGGTCTTCGGTCCCCAGATATGTGGTTTTTGTCTGCTTGTTTGTTTGGGGTCTTGTTAGTTGTTTTATAAAATAGGCTCTTGCCCACCTGACCCCAAACTTATAATCACCCTCTGGCCTCAGCCTCCACATTGCTGAGGGACAGGCCGTACGGCACCATACCCCAGCTGCCAGATTGTAGCATCTGAGGCACAGTTATTATACAAAGGTAAACCATTATAATACTTTCAAAATCACTGTTAATCTTAGTGAGATTAAATGGGGTATCACTTTTCAAAAAATATAGTCAGCCTGGCAGTGGTGCTGCACCCCTTTAATCCCAGAACCCAGGAGGCAGAGGCAGGTGGATTTCCATTAGTTCAAGGCCAGCCTGTTCTACAAAGTGAGTTCCAGGAAAAACAACACTGAGATGTATGTGTGTATGTATGTATGTATGTATGTATGTATGCATGTATGCATGTATATGCATTTTATATCTTGGTTCCAATCTAACCAACCACAGATAGAAAAAATTAAAAGTTCCAGACAGTTACAAAAGCAAATTGAAAGTGAGCTTGAGGGAGGTGCTATGCTGAAACTGGGAGAGTGAAGTGACCAGCAGACACTTCCTGCTATGGCCCCTTGACACTCCAGCATGAGTGGTCACCCGTGTCACTGCCTCTGTATGGAACAAACACTTTCCTCCACATTGCTAAGTGATGCCTAACAGCTACCTAGCGTTTATGTTATGCTAGGTGTGTTAGTCATCTGACGATGATTAAAGTGTATAGGAAAATGTAAGAGAGGGCAGAAGGAAATGTGTTGAGTATCCTTGGATTTCAGTATCCTGGGGTCCTGGGACCATCTCCTTGCTGATGATGAGGAAGGGCTAGATATGGTAACCCAAGCACTCTGGCTCTACTTCGGCTGCTTTGATATTGGAGTTCAATTGCATCCAGCCTAAACAAGCTCAGAATCTAGTATTGTCATTTACAGTCTTCTGCAATGTGGTCTCTAGACCTACATTAAGCAGCTTAATGCCTGTGGGGACTCTGCTGTGATGGTTGTTAGCAAATGGTAGCTGTTGTGAGTTTATTGCGTGTTTTGCTGTGGCTACTTTCATTTAGGTGCTCACTCAACTTTGGAAAAAGTTTGAATTTTCATTTGAAGCACAGAATTGTGGCATCCTGAATGCTGAACTGTATTCTTAGGTACTAGCACAGGCCACCAGCAGGGTCTGGCTGTGATGTGAGGCTGACACGTACTTGGGGTGCCGAAACTGGCTAGGAGCAGCAGAGCAGCAGGTACGAAGGACAAAGCTCTGCTTCTGGGTGTCATTCTCAGAAACAACTTGAGTATGGTTGGATGGCATGGATGGTGCTGCTAATCAGTAGGGAAATCTAATGAAAAAGACACCAGGAGCATTTGGTAGACATACACATAAGAAATGAGGAGTTCTGAAGAAACACAGGAAGAAAGAGACATGAAGAAGGTGGGCATTGGACCTGGGGTGTGTAATGTACCTTCCTTGAAAGTAAAAATTACTTTTAACAGAATTATTTTGTCTGCGATTAGTAAACATTGCCAAGTTGATTTTACAAAGCCATGTGTTTTCACTGGTGTCCCATTTTCAAATCATATTTATTTGTGGGAGAGGACACATGGTACATGTGGGGATCAGAGGACAATTGTAGGAACTGTTTCTCCTTCTACCCACATGGGTCTGGAAGTCAAACTCAGATTCTTAGGCTGAGCAGCCCCTTCGGGCTGAGCCTTCTCACTTGCACCTGGTGCCCCACTTATAAAGAAATAAATAATAAAACAAGTTATAGAAAGGGTCACTATAAGAAGAAAGTATTTGCTTTAATGCCCAGGTCAGAGTCTGTTCAGTACTAATGATTATTTCAACATATGAGCGGCACCAATGCACCCTTATGCTCGAAATCAGGGGGCAAGTGATTGATAATGCCTTCCTACACTACTCCATGAATTTTTATGGCACAGTGGAAAAATCGGATAGTAGCATTTGAAGGGAAACGTACCAGATTTCCCAGAAACTTAAGCTAAGAAGACCTAGCTGCTGAACCTCCTCGGCGCTTTCCCACACTTTAATGTTTGACAAAACAGCAAGTTGGAAACTGGTAAATGCTTCTTTTAAAGAAGCTTAGAAAATGGTTATGGAGAGAACACATTGGTCCAAACTCCCTTCTGTATCTCTGTGCTAGCATTGTATAATCTGCTCCCTTCAGAACTAAGGGAGGGGCTGGAGAGATGGCTCAGCAGTCAAGAGCACTATTGCTCTTGCAGAGTTCAGATCCCAGAAACATCACCTGGAACTACAGCTCCAGGGAATTCGATACTCTCTCCTGGCCTCCGTGGCTCATATTCCCACACAGGTACACGTGCACACACAGAAACAAAAGTAAAGACATACCTTTAAACACGCTGAAGTGGTGCCTTTATTTTTTCCAAGTCTGTAAAGTTGCAATGCACTAGCAAGCTCTTTATGGGGCTCTGGAGGGGTCTGGCTTAAAACTAAACGTTGAGTTGGCCCTTCTGCTGTCTGAGTTATGAGGGCTTCCGTTTTTGTTTTGCTGCTGTTTTGTTTCCTCTTTAACGGATGGTGATCTTAACCTCACTGCCTAAGCCATAAAAAAAAAGCAGGTCTCAAGGCAATTTGCTAAATTATCTGGCCCTGGAACTTTTGATGGGATTCACATTTGTAGATGCAAAGCCCATAAAATGGGCATAAAGAAAAGTCATCCATTCAAGGATGTTCAGCCGGAAATGACACCAGCCACAGTATGGAATTGAGGTGTCTACTGGCAACCATCTCCTCCCATCTTCCCCAGATGCTCACAGACCACATTGTCCTTTTCTCTGTCTTTGTAGCCAGAGCTACCTGCAAGCTGCCAGTGAGGTGCCTGTTGGTCACAGCCTGGACCCATCAATCAACTACAACTCCCCGAAGTTCCGGTCCAGAAACCAGAGCTACATGCGGGCCGTGAGCACCCTGAGCCAGGCCAGCTGTGTGAGCCAGGTGGGCCTCTTCTGTGCTTTTCTATGTAGCGTGCAGTCTCTGGAGCTGTTAGAGGATCCCATGGGGCAGTCAGTGCCCAGACACCCATGGACAGTACTCTCCTGCAGGGAATGTGTAATAGTGTCTCTTGGTTTATCATGGGCTTTCTTCCTCTTCTAAAAGTAAATAGCCTCCTTGGCTTATGCTACATCTTCCCAACAGAGCCACCCAGGCCTAGTTGCAGTGGGACAATGCAGAGGGCACCTGCCTGGTACAGGCTGTTAGTTTTCTAACAGCCAGGCACTGCGGAGAAAAGAATGAGTACCACTCACTCCTAGGGCAGGTCTTATTTCTCAGTGGACATCTAGTCTCAAAGCAGGATCCAGGGTCCCCACAGAGTGGTAGGGGCTGGACCCAGCATTGGGAGAAGTGCTAGGTTTCTCACTTGGGTAAATGGACCAGACAGTATATACCAACAACCAGCGGGAACTACTGGTGCCATGTGTCCTGCGATGTGCAGCAAATAACTGAATTTCCAAGCTTTAATTGAATACCTGCTTACTTATTAGAAAGAGAACTTAAATGTCTATAATTCCAGTGCACAAGAAGCTGGGGCAGGAGGAGCAGGGATTCCAGCCCACCAGCAAGGCCTCATCTCAAAAACTAATAATTTAAAAAATTATGTAATTTATGCTTACCCTTAGCTTTACCCATGATATTCTTGCCAGTGAAGAGCCTGGTCTCGGGATCCCGCTTCTTTGCAATTGGCATAACAAGGAAGTCAGTGGACTTGGGGATTGTTGAGGACAGAGTCCTGTATACAACGAGCACTCAATAACCACAATGTTTGTTGTTGCTATGACAATGCTAAATAGTAGTGGCATGTAACCCAGGCACTCAGACATCCTCCTGGCTATGGAAAGTGCTGACTAGACAGTAACGACTCTTTTCCTACAACTCCTTCTCTTCAGAAAGCTGCACTCAAGTGGCTTTCCTCTATCAGCAGTGTGGGTGTGGGTGTGGGTATGGGGAGGGTCTTGTCCTTGCCCTTAATTTGAGGATTTTAATGCCTGCCTTAGTGATGGTTTCCTCTTGTAAATTAGGTCAAGTTGCCATGGGAAAGGGACTTTTAGGAACTAAAATGGGAAGAACTACCCCTACTATACAACTCAGGACTATGGGGGCTTAGCTCTCAAAATCCCATGCTTGATGTGTCCACAGTCACAGACCACCTGGAGGGGGACTCCAACATCCCCTTCTTAACACTCCTACAGTACTATTAGAACACGCTCAGCTCCTAAGAATTGGGCTACTGTGGAGGTCTGATTCGCCAACAAAACTCCCCATTTCCATACAGAAGAATTGAAGTTGAGTTGGAAGGTACCCAAAGTCAGTGTAACAGCTCCCATCCCAGGATGAGGATTGCTGAGGTAGATTCCCATCCTTTAAAGTTGACACAGTCCCTTTCAGTTAATTCAGTTCATTTTCCAAGTACAATTTTATTGGTGCTTGCCTATATGTATATCTGTGTGAGGGTGTTGGATCCTGGAATTACAGACAGTTGTGAGCTGCCATGTGGGTGCTGGGAATCGATCCTGGTTCCTCTGAAAGAGCAGTCAGTGCTCTTAACCACTGAGCCATCTCTCCAGCCCCTCCAAATGAAAAATTGTAAAGTGCTATGAAGCTGGGCATGGTGGCACTCAGGGTAGAGGCAGAAGCATCATGAATATTTAATCTGCCTCCTTTAAAATTCTACAGTAATAAGAAATACACTCATTCAGTCTCACCCAGTCCTCATTTCTCCATGAAATTCATTTTTCAGATTTGTAAGGCAAGGACCTAGATCCACTGACTACTGGGTTATGCCCACCTGAGATGAGAATATCTCCTCCACACTTAAGGGTACCCCCCTTTAATTCATCCAAAGTCCAATTTGGAGAACAAATTATTTAATCTGAGTTACTTTCCAGAATATAGATAGCTAAAAGACAACTCTATCCCTAAAATAATTGCCCCAGCATGGGTAACAATCCAGGAACACTGCCTCCCTGGAAACCCCTGCACAATTTGCAGTCAGCTTTATAGATTGAAAAGTCTCTTCTCCCCAGAAGTCTTACCACTTAGATAATCTTGCTGAGTAGTCTTGTAAATCTTTTAAGCTTCAGGAACTTGCTGAGACTTGTTAGTTGTTTGTTGCTTGAGTCTTAAGAGCTTCCCCATGCCCTCCAGGAGGGAATGTTGTTACATAACAGAACCATATAACTTGAAATGTCTCATTTCAACCATGCTGCAGTGCACACAGTCAGCCTATCACCATCTTTCAGTCCCAGGATGCTCTCATCACCCCAAACTGAAACCCAATCTGCTTTCCCCAGCCCATGGCCACCCCTATTATACTTTTTGTATTATTTTAAATACCTGGTGTTAGTGTAACTATCCAGCAGGGATCCTTCTTGGACTAGCTTGTTTTACTAAAGCACGTTGTCCCTCTGGATTTATCCATGTTGCAGCCATGTGTTCTGGGCATTGACCTGCTGGGACCTGAAGCTTTTGCAATGTCATGCCGTAGCTCATCTTCTCTGAGGTGTCTGTAATCTAACTGATGTCACAAACCTTCATGGCCGCACACCTTCATGATCCACTCCATCCTTCCTATGAATCACTCCAACCTTCCCCTGATTCTTTGGCAGACAGACTTTTAAACTAATATCTTCCTTTGTTCTGTCTGCCAGCATGATCTGGGTACTGAGAAGCCATGGTGGACCAGCTACAGTGAACCAGAAAGAACAAGAAAGGAAAAAATGTCTTAGTTCTTAGCTGTCAATGTGTGTTTGTAAAGGGAGTGACAGTGGAAGATAGGAAGAAAGGGAAGGGGTAGAGAAGACAGGATGAAATCTGATTTGTGCATGGCATTGAAGAGAAGGAGCCAGAGTTTCCTGGCCTTGGGAGCAAAGATGTCACTTTTGTGTGGGGAAAGCATGGGAAACCTGACCCAGTGGACCTGGAGTAGGTGAAGTGATGTCCCAGCAAGTTCTACAATGGTCTAGTGAGGAATTTGAAGTCGGGGTGGTCACGACAGGGAGGGGAAACTTGTTCAAACCCCAAACTAAGGAGAGAGGAGAAGTTGAGAGAATATTTTCAAGACCTTTGCCTGTGACCCAGTTAAAGAGTAGACTAGGAAGTCTGCATGGCAGGGAAAAGGGTGTTTCTTGATCATGGAAAGCCCCACTTAAGAATCTGCCCTAAGCCTGTCACCATAGCTGTAGGCAGTTGTGTGCAGTGACATGATTCTCAGTACGTCACTCAGACAGACTCTTGTCACGGGCAACTAGAAAGATGTGGAGGAGGAGGAGAGGGCCGAGGTGGAGAATGGCAGTCTAATATTCAGGATGGACAAATGGTCTACCTGTGTCCACCATCAGGTACTGAGGACAGACACCAGATCTCAGATAGTAGATCATCACTAAGTTCACGGTGTCAGAGATAGGACAAAAAGAGGAACTGGAGAGGTAGGGGAACAGACAGCAAGCATAGGTGCTGTTCTGTGTCCCAAACTCTGACTGGCCGCATCCCGAGATCCCCATCATGCCACTGACCCGTGTACATATGTGCCAATATAGAAAGACACACCTGAGAAACAGAGCCCCGTAGTGTGTGGGTATGTCTGAGTTTCTTCTCCTGTTGCCGTGATGACACACACGGACAGCAACTTGAAGGGGAAAGAGTTTGCTCTGGATCACGGATTCTGGTGCAGCCCAACACTGTAGAGGAGTCAAGGCACCGGGGCTTTCAGCATCTGGTCACATCTGGTCACATCTGGTCACATGGTGTCCACGAGCAGGGAAGGAGGGCTGTGGACGCTGGCTGTAGCTAGCATCTGTCTCCATTTATGCAGTCTGGGATCCAAACAGGGGAACGGTGCCACCCACAGTGGGCAGGTCCTCCCACCTCAGTTGTCACAGTCAGGAGAGTCCCCCACGAGCCTGCCCAGGAGCCCATTTTCCAGGGGATTTCAGATTCTGTCTACCATCTCAGAAGTCGTTTACCAACACAGAGTCAGTGAGTGGGGAGGACCCCCGGGATGAGCTGGGGAGGACCCCCGGGATGAGCACAGACTGAGCCCTCGGACTCTTGTCTCCAGCACTGGATATAGACCTGAGTTCACTAACCCCATTTAAACTTCTTATGCTTGAAATCCTCCATGCTTCTCCCACTAACCCTTCAACCTGGTTTTCAGCCCTGTAACCCCCTTGACTGAATTTCCAGTTTAAAATCTTTGGTTTCACCCATGAACAGTATATGCTGTGTGGATTTGAGCATCATCATGCATCAGGACAAACATGTCCCCTTGGGCCGTCCACCCTGAGCAGAGCCCCTGTGGCTGAGCTGATGGTCCAGCGCATGCCCGTGATCTCACCAGGGCTGACAGGCCCAACACAGTGCTTCCTCAAGAGTATTTGGGAAAGTTCAGTTCCCAGAGTGAACCGATACACACAACCTAAGACACAAACTGAAAACTTACTACCTTTATCGGCACTGTACTTACAAATCTCGATCTATTAGGGGAGAACACACCCGAGATTTAAGTCCATGTACCATGTCTCATGTACACAGATCTCATAGGCAGCCATGTCTTCCCCACCCCGACTCTGCTCATGATGCTGTAATGGTGATGAGGGCAGGAGTGCCTCTGCCAAATTTGGGATTCGTTTCCATGACAATGAGCAGCAGCTGACTCTCACGTCCTGAAAATGAACTAAAAGTAGCTGATGCACTTGAACGTGTGTGCTTACTTCTACAGCCTCCAACCCAGAGTCAGCCCGAGCGGTAGGTAGCTGGGGAAACGAAGGGCTCACTGGGGAAGGAGGATGGCCCTGATGGTGTGGACGTTGGCAGTGTACCAGGTGTTTCGGGAGGCTTTTGCCTGCCCTGTCTCCTGGACTTTGTGATGGCTGTCAGTCTGGTGAGTCCACAGAACTTCCGTCATCTGTAGCTAGTTATGTACCTTCCAGTTTTATAAGAAATAACCTAAGAAGTCATCCTCCAAGCTTAACGGATTCCCAGTGTGGATTTCAAACTAGCTGTGCTGAAAATATAAGGAGCTGTCACCGAGTCCCGCGAGTGCATTTTGTCCTTGGTTCTCGTGTGACGTGATTGCGATCACCCTGATGGATCCTGGCGTCACGTGTGCTGTTGCTCTTCTAGATGAGTGAAGCAGAAGTCAATGGGCAGTTCGAGTCAGTGTGCGAATCTGTCTTCAGTGAAGTTGAATCTCAGGCCATGGATGCCCTTGACCTTCCTGGATGTTTCCGGACAAGGAGTCACAGTTACCTTCGAGCCATCCAAGCTGGTTACTCCCAAGACGATGAATGTATTCCCGTGATGACACCCTCCAACATGACCTCAACCATCAGGTCAACAGCAGGTAAATAGAATATCCTTTTTCACCTACCTAACAGAAAACCTACAGGTGTGCTTAAATATTTTTCCTAGAAGGGAGCTGGCATACACCTTCGCCACAGGTCAAATTTACTCGCTGAAATTATCATGCACCACATAATGACATTCGCAATAGCATTCTGAAGCACTTCTTTCAAAGATAACATTGCCTCTTTCTCAGGTGAACTCTATAAATTATCAAGGTCCTTTGAAAGAATCAGGAATAATAACTTGCATTAAGGTTTCTAAGGCATACAAGAGTGTAAGTACTGACATCTGGGCAGTACTTGGGTCTTAACGCCAATATTCAAGAGGTTGGAGTGACATCTGGGTGGACTACGCAATGTCCCCTGCAGTGGATCTGCATTGCAGAGCCCAGCCTCAGTCACTGCCACTCAATATCAAATCCATAAATGTGATTCATCACTACAAAGCCAGTCAGTGGTTAGTGTAAATCCTTTCATTGACTTAAGCTTGGAGGATTCAGTGTCACATTTTCTTGCAGTTCTTACGAAAAGCCATATCCATCCTTTGAAGATTTACCACTTCGACCAAACACCACTGCCCACTAGCTTACTGCACACTTATTATTTATATAACACAATGAATATACATGGCCCAGAGAAACCCATAAAACACGGTGAGCAGTAAAAGTTTGCCACACTCCAGGTGAAGGCTGGGGAGAGAAGCTGTAAAACATTCCAGTGTCAAAAAACGAGGTATCTCGGATAGCCTAAGATTCAAACTTCTGTGGCCACATCAAAGGAATTTAAAATACAATCCTAAGAAGAAACAGAACATACTGTGTCAATATTAAATGATGTCAGGAGCCAAAAGTCAGGTAGGACATGTAGCAAGAAGGAACAAGACCTCAGAAAGCAGGGGTCAGAGTGCTCACAACAGGCTTCTTTGTTCAGTGCTAATGTGAGCTAGGACTCACGTCCCACACACTGCCAAATGACAAACTGAAGAATTTCTGTCATAGGGTACATTCTGCACTGTTGTTTGCACTACAGGAAGAATTACTTCATGCTGGTGTCTATAGAGGAATAAACTATTTCAAGTTTCTTTCCATTGCTTACCTTGGTGAAGCCTTAGGCTTGTCCATTTCTCCAAGTCTGTTGTTGAGGTCTTCGGAGAAGTAGTAACAATGAATAAGGTATTCCAGAGAACACGTTGAGTGCTCTTCTACAGAAGCAGTGGAAACTCACTTGTTGGGGGGTATTTGTACACTGTGTGAGGATGTATTTGCTGTGATTGGTGTAATAAGAAGCTGAGCAACCAATAGCTAGACACCGGGTATAGGCAGGATTTCCGGGGAGAGAAAGGAAGAGGAGAAAGAATCCAGGCTTGCAGGAGAGGTCAGGGGACACGGAGAGGAAACAGGAGGTGCAAGATAGAAGAGAGGTAATACCATGTGACAGAATGTAGATTAACACAAATGAGTTCATTTAAGTTATAAGATCCAGGAAGGAAAAAGCCTAAGCTATAGTCTGAGCTTTCATAATCAATAAGAAGGTTCCGACAGAAAAGGACTTGTTATACTCACTGTCTTCTCCTGTGGCCTGGTGGCCCCAACAGAGGCTTCTGTGATGCATTAAACCGTAAGTTATGGGCCTTGATGAGAGATGTCCAGTGGAACATGGGGCTCTGTCCTCATCACTGCTTAGTGGAAAACCAAGGGCACAGCCCAAGTCTGTGACTTGAAGTAGACAGAGCTGTACGTGTCAACTGGATAGCACAGTCATGGAGACTGGCAGTTACAATCTTTGGTTGTTCTCTCAGGTGTCCTGTGTCACATGCTCCTCTGCCTCAGTGATGTCACAGGCTGCTGTCCATCGTCTACCTACATGTGAGAATAGAGCTAATTGAAAACATAGGGAAGGAATGAGATTCACAACCACTACATTAAAAAGCAACCTTAGGAAGCTAGGCCTGAGCATTGGGGCCCCATCACCCCAGCAACCAAGAAGCTGAGGCAGGAGGATTGAGAGTTTGAGGCCAACCTGAGCTACATAATGAATCCCACACTATCCTGAACTCCTTGGTAAGACCCTGTCTCAAAAAAAAACATAATGAAATCAAAAGGCAACCCCTTTGAAGAGAATCACTCAAGATCACTGGTGTTTGTTGAATGCTCCCTACAAGCAAATGAACAATTAAGCATTTTCATGGTCTTCAGAAAAGCTTTGAAACAATAATTATGTGGTAGAAAATGGCTTTGCTGTTTTTAGAGCTGTCGTTATGGAGAATAGAAATAGAACAGATTTCACAGAGATAATGTAAGAAACAGTACCAAAACTCAGTCTAAAGTTCTGATTTATATACACAGTAAATCGTTTTTCCCAGGCACACTGCACATTCCAAAAAATCCCCATACGAAATAAATTTTTAAATGTGTCTATTCAAAGTTTCCAGTGGGTCTCGTCCTAGTTACTGAGTCAAACTCTCTTCTAGACTACGGGGTAAATATCAGCATCATGGAAAAAAACGGTGGGTCAAATAAGCACAAAGGTGGGCTGCTGGAAGATGTCATAGGGTAGCATGGGTACCATCATAGGGTAGCATGGGTAGCATGGGTACCGTCGTGTGAAGCCGAAGCTCGGGTCCCCACTGGACCCACCACGGCTACTCTGAGCACATCCTACACAATGCTAAGGATTTTTCTTCAGATGCTTGATGACACTCGACATGGCCTGGTTAATAAGATTAGGAACAATGCCAAAGTTTTTTTTTAATCTAGAAAAGCAGTGTAGAGGGAAAGTCCCCAAGTCACAGAATTCAAATTTAATATTGTGTTATAGACTCCCTAGCTCTGTCTCTCTAGACATCGGGTCACACAGCCTTAGTAGTCTTTTTCTGGAGAACTAGGGAGCAATAAGAGCTGCGGCCTTACGTTCTCCATCCTTCTCGCAGCTGTGCAAAAGTGCAAGACAACTTGAATTATACTCTGCTCTTTAATGCATGAAAATTTGGAGATGTCCTTGAGAGCCTTTCTCAACTCTTAGGTGGGCTTTTATCACACAGAATTTGGAGCAAGTTGGTAGCATTCAGGTTCTAGCCTTTCAGTTTTGAAGAATGAAGTTCATAGAAGGTGAGTTTTAGGAAGCATTTTATTGTTGTGAAGTTAAGAAAGATGACAGGTGAGATCCCCAGAGAGTGGGATACTATTGAAGGTCACTCCTACTGTGGAGTCATTGAGACTTTACTTGATGGAGGCATGGGAGGGGCGGTGAGCCGGTTAGTCTAGTTCCCTGTTCAACTGTCCAGTGTGGTCTATCAGTATTCTGCCACACCCTTCCATGTGGATTCCAGGAAAGATGTTCACTTAGGGGAAAAGATATAAAAACCCAGGCCATTCTGGCATCCCAGCCCTCTAGCCAAGGCAGAACCAAAGACATTGTCTTAAATACTTCTGGTATCTCCTGCCTGAAGCAAAAGTAGGGGTATCAATAGGGCTAAGGGCATTCATAGATTTTAGTCAAAGACAAACTGCACATTCACGATCCTTTTCCCCTAAACCACCTAACCGTTTCTTTTCCCTGTTCTCATCACCTTCCTGCCTTCTGACTCACATGCAGAACTTACCCGCACCCCCAACCCCTGGAAACTCATAAGATGGAGAGAAACTCCCTGTGTCACAGAACTGAAGGGAAATGACAGGTCTGAGTCTCCTGCCTCTCCCTTCATGGCCCCATTATGGCTGCCTATGGCCATCGTACTGCAACTCTCCCCATATTCTGAGACTGAAGTATGTCTTCCTTCGGTATCTCCCTTATGCTACTCACAAAGGGTATCACCTATCAAGCTGCTCTTTGGGTCTGAAGGTTCAGGGCTGCATGTGGCTGCTTGTGGATTTGATATTGTCACTCTCCTAATACAGTTCACATGATGGACAAACCATATCAGCATCCTTCTAGGACCGTGCCTTCTGTTGTCAGTTACATCACTATGCATGCTGATGGTGAGAGCTGAACCCCAACTTTGATCAGAACTGTCTGTCCATGAGGCAAGCGGATTTAAGTAACTTTGGTCTCAAGTACTTCCTGGTTTTGTAACCTGTTACACTAGCATTTGATGGCCACCTTCATTCACAATGGAGATTATTTTGACGAATTAACACTCTTCTATCGTCCTGGGGCACTTGGAGTGCAGCTCAGCAGTAGGATGTTTATCTGGAGTACAGGAGGCTCTGGGATTTGTCTCCAGGACTGAAAGGGATTTTTTAAAAAATGCTTTCCTTTCATGGCTCAAAAAAAATCTACTTTCAAAAACATCTCGGAGTGATTGTTTTGAAGTACAAGAGGCATTTAAACATGTTCTTTACAGAGGCTTGAAAAATGAAAGCAGGCAGTATTAGATTTTCTCACCTTATAAACATGTAAATCTAGAAGCCCTGTGCTCATGCAATAAATCAAGTGTCAAGTGTACAGATGAGTGAATTACTATAGATTTTTAAGAACATAGTGAACAGACTTGACTTAGACCCTTGGCAGGTGTGTGCTATTAGCCAATGTGCCTATCAGGTCGCCCCTCCTCACCTGCAATGTGGGGTGCAGGGAGTCCAACCCACCAAGCTTCACTCATCAGTCTCTGTGATCCCCAGCAAACATGGAACACAGCACTGGGCAGGATGACCCCCATCCATCATGCCTTTCATTATGAAAAGCGGTGGGTGTTGATTATAAACCCCTCCTTAAATGAAGTGGTCCTGAAAACATCTAACTTCCATTTCACACTTGGCTTCTCTCTCATCTATGAAATGATGTATCAGGTAGATCTGCTTGTCTAAATGCTCATTTCACCCGATTTTTCGAGGGAAAGAATAACATTGGTACTGTGAGGGGACGCAGTATAAAATTAGATGATAATGGTTTTTCTCTGGGTCAGAAATTGTCTCCACACATGTCACAACTAATTCTAGAAGTCATCAGAACCAAGGGAAAGCCACACAGGGATGACAGAGGGAACAGCACAGACCTACTT